GCCATCCCTGTGGGGGCTGCGAATTGCGAAACTGTCGCCACTTTCAAGGGATGCTGTGGGGTCCAGCAGAGTGACGCCTTACGCAGACCTAGATTTGACCTCGCCATCTCTGGAGGGTTGCGAACTGCAAAGTTATCGCCACTTTCGCTAGCTGCTTGGGGTCCAGCGGAAAGGCGCTTTACGCAAACCCAAATTAGAGCTCGCCGAGGGGGGCAGCGAACTGTGAAACAGTCGCCACTTTTGAGCGCTTCTGTGGGGTCCAGCGGAGTGACGCCTTACGTAAATTCTGATTAGACCTCGCCATCCCTGGGGGGGCTGCGAAGAGCGAAACTGTCGACACGTTTGGGGGCTGCTGGTGGGTGCAGCGGAGTGGCGCCTCACGCAGATCTATAGTAGACATCGCCATCCCTGGGGGGCTGCGAACTGCGAAACTGTCGACACTTTCGAGGGCTGCTGGAGAAGTGAAGCATTACGCAGACTTAGACTAACCATCGCCATCTCAGGGGGGGTGCGAACTGCGAAACTTTCGCCACCTTCGATGGCTGCTGGGTGGTCCAGTGAAGTGACGCATTACACAAACCTAGAGTCGACCTCGCCATCCCTGGGCGGCTACGAACTGCAAATCTGTGATATCGGGGATATCCCTGGGGAGCTGGGCTTAGATCGGGGATGTGCAGAAAACACATTCGTTGCATCGGATCGTCAGGGTTCAAGGCTTGAGAGGGCGATGGTAACAGCAACTGGTATGCACCGCACAATATTTTTGGTCAATGTTTTTGTAATTTCCAGGGGCGCCACCCTGAACCAATCGCCTCCCGTCGTAGGTGCTTCAGCCGCCCGTTCGTAGAAACCCCAAGGTCCAAGACCGCCCAAGACAGCTGCAAGGTGCCCCAGGACCGTTCCAAAACGGTCGGCATGGAAGCAAAGGTCCTCAAGGAAACAGGTCCCGGATCCCAGGCCTTACCCAGGGCCAAATGTCTTCCTCATGCGTCGTTTTCTAGAAGTCCCCGGGCCTGGGGAAGAGCCCAGGAAGCGAAAAACTACGGAGCAACTGAAGGCCCGTTTCCCTTGAAACCCAATTCTTCATGGCGAAGCGGCAGGCTGTTGTATTAGTCGAATGTATTATGATTCGTGTCATTATTTTTACTATTCGTAGTATTACTACTACTACGACTACCACTACAACAACTACTACTACTACTACTACTACTACTACTACTACTACTGCTACTACTACTGCTACTACTGCTACTACTACTACTACTACTACTACTACTACTACGACTACTACGACTACTACGACTACTACGACTACTACAACAACTACTACTACTACTACTACTACTACTACTACTACTACTATTACTACTACTACTACTACTACGACTACTACTACTACTACTACTACTACTACTGCTACTACTACGACTACTACGACTAATACTACAACAGATACTACTACTACCACCACCGCTACCACTACCACTACTACTACTACTTACTACTACTACTACTACTACTAATAGTAAGACTACTACTACTACTACTACTACTACTACTCCTACGACGACTACTACTACTACTACTACTACTACGGCTACGACTGCGGCTACGACGACGACGACGACTACTACTACTACTAGTACTACTACTAGTACTAGTACTAGTACTACTACTACTACTACTACTACTACTACTACTAGTACTTACTACTACTACACTACTACTTACTACTTACTACTACCACTACTACTACTATGACTACTACCACTATGACTACTACCACGACCACTACTACCACTACTACTACTACTACTACTACTACTACTACTACTACTATTACTGCTACTACTGCTACTACTGCTGCTACTGCTACTACTACTACTACTACTACTACTACGACTACGACTACTACTACTACTACTACTACTTCTACTACTACTACTACTACCAGTACAACGACTACTACTGCTACTGCTACTGGTACTGGTACTGGTACTGGTACTGGTACTGCTACTACTACTACTACTACTACTACTACTACTACTACTACTACTACTACTACTACTACTACGACTGCTACTGCTATTGCTACGGCTATTACTACTATTACTACCACTGCTACTACTGCTACTGCTACTACTACTACTACTACTACTACTACTACTACTACTACTACTACTACTACCTACTATACTACGACTACTACTACTACTACTACTACTACTACTACTACTACTACTACTACTACTACTACTACTACTACTACTACTACTACTACTACTACTACTACTACTACTACTACTACTACTACTACTACTACTACTACTACTACTACTACTACTACTACTACTACTACTACTACTACTACTACTACTACTCTACTACTGCTACTTGTCTTACTGCTGGTATCACTGTGTATGTTTTTATATGCGGACATAATTTATATCTCCGACAGCGGTCGTTACTCTTCTGGCCCTGAAGCCACCAGTATGGGCCACGTCGGTGCGGAGGTGCGCTGCGATCGCCACAGCGCGCGCACCAATACGTAGGGGGAGGTTCTCAAACCACCCCTGTACGTGCGGTCGTTTCTGTCCCCTGGGGGGTTGACCCAAGTATTGGGATGGGAAATGTCCTCCTCCAGGCGGACTTCGAAGGAACACTGAGAAATAGTCCAGAACAAAAGTTTGGAACATAGCCAACAAAAACAAAGCAAACTCGTTCCCAGATGTTATGTCAATTTTTGCAACTCCCTCCTGTAGAAGGACACGCCCACCTTAACCCAAGGAACGACAGTTATTGCTCGACTATGCTTGCGTATCCCTACTGTAGAGGGACACGCCCGCCTTAACCCAAGGAGCGACCGTTGTTGCTCGACTATGTTTGCACATCCCTACTGTAGAGGGGCACGCCCGCCTTGACCCAAGGAACGACTGTTATTGCTCGACTATGTTTGCATATCCCTACTGTAGAATGGGTCACGCCCGCCTGAACCCAAGTGGCGACCGCTACGCGCCCGAGGATCTGCGCAGTCTCCCTCGCCGGGGAGCCGCCCTACACATGACGTGCGCGCGCCCCGCCACGCACACGCGCGCGCGGCACCCCCAAGAACGCGAGGCCAGCCTCGTGTCCCTGCGAGCGTTCGCGCAAGACGCACTCGCGAACCCAAATGTGGATGCATCCAATTACTGGAATGCCCGCGGGGGTTTCTAGGTGGATAGGGGGGTTACAATACAGGGACCCTGGGACACACACACACACACACACACACACACAAAGACCCCAAGACTATCCATAGTTTCCTATTTATCTTTGAGGTGTCCGTCTTCCCCCCCCCGCTTCCGATATGTTCCAATACTTTCCCAGGGATCGATGGTTGATTGTGTCTGCGTGTTTTCCTCCTCCTGATACAAGTGCATACCAAGGTGGGTTATATCTGGCCCACCCTGGCTTCTAAGCGGGCCACGAGTGCCCCAAGTAGCTGAAGTGGGGGGGTTAGCGATCCTGGCCAAGTGGGCTCCGCCCACTTCGCGGAGTGATCTAACCCCCTAAGCCACGCGAAGACCATGTAACCCACTCATGAGCAGGGTTGGGCCAGACATAACCCACCTCAGCATCCACTAGCAACCCCCCTGTCCAATTAGAAACCGCCACGGTCATCCCAGTACGTGCGCAGTCGAGACTGTAAAGGGTACGCGGCCAAGATGCAAGGGCCTTGGAGGCCCAGGCCAAAGCTGCTCGAGGGGGCTGGCCACCCAAAATGATTGAGGACGGACCGAAGAACGGCCGCAGACAGGATAACTAAAACCAGCACAAGCATGGCGCTCCGCGCGGCCTTCTTGGATCCGCGCCCTCGCCGGACCCCCCCTCCCTGGCGCGGAGCCAGGGGCGGGGCTGGAGCCACCGCCAGGGGGACCCAAGCGCCGATCCAAGAGATCCGCGTGGAGCGCCGAACAGTTTTTCTGTTTATGTTACTTCTTGTTCCCCGATTCTCCTCCTCCTCCTCCTCCTCCTCCTCTTCCTCCTCCTCCTGGACCAGACGAGGCGTGGGAAGTCGAGACGAGGCGAGGCGTGGGAAGTCGATCACCCTCGCTAACGGTTTCGACTGTGCGTGCACGTCCTTCGCTCGCCGCTGGCCTCGCGGCGCCCCAGGCGAAGCTCCCAGGGGAGACCCCACAAAGAGAACAAACAAAACTGCATACTATAATCATAACGAGATCATATGCTGCGGTATGGGATCTTACAACATGGTACATCACTTGGAGCATGAGACATATTAAACGTTATACTACAAACACTACAATCGAATAGCATGCAATAAGATATGAAAGAACGGTGTAGGGGATGGGGCCCGAGCACATGGGGTCGGAAAACTGCACCGCACCGCCGATATCTCGGCAATGCATCGGCGATGCACCGGCGAAGTCGGCGATGCATCCGCGATGCACGGGCGACGTCGCCGTGGAGAACATCTCGGGTCGGGCGAAAGAGGGGGATAGCAACGGGAGGGTTGAGAATCAGAGCTCACGTAGCTGATTTTCCCGGCGCCTCCCGGCGCAGGAGGCGGCTATGTATGGGCCCCTCGGTGAGGCCGAAACCAGCCGCATGCAGCAGATTTCGTGACCCCCCACTTTCCCTATCCCCCCTTTCGTTCGGCCCGAACATCGGGCTCCACATCGAGCCGCATCGCCGATGCATCGGCGATGCGGCACGATCCTCCGACCCCGTCCACTCCGACCCTATCTGGGGGGTGGGCTCCCAGGCCCTCGGCTCTCCTCTTCCGGGTCGCACAGCGGGCCGCCACTCCGACCTCTGCCCCCCCTTCCCCCCCCCAGCCCAGATGTGCGCTGCGAGATGCTGGCGAGCCTGGTGGTCAAAGCACGCATGAAGGGCAGCTCGGGTCCGTCTCTCTTTCTCTCTCTCGCTCCCTACCCCCCCACACCTCCTCCCCCCTCGCCTGCCAGGCTCCGCCTCGCCTCCACCTCGCCCTGCCCCCCTTCTCACCGCGAGACCACGAGTGGCAGTCGACCAATCCTCCGAGGCACCTGCTGGCACCAAGGAACTCCTCCGAGGATGTCCTGCATCCCGCCTCTCCTGGCTGCCGGTCGCCAGCTGAGACACTCGTGCACTGCACGGATTCCCCTGGGGCCGTAGGCGACCCTGGGAGGAGGAGGAGATGGAGGAGGAGGAGGAGGAGGAGGAGGAGGAGGAGGAGGAGGAGGAGGAGGAGGAGGAGGAGGAGGAGGAGGAGGAGGAGGGAGGAGGAGGAGGAGGAGGAGGAGGAGGAGGAGGAGGAGGAGGAGGAGGAGGAGGAGGAGGGCGATGAGGAGGAGGAGGACGGGTCGCCTAAGCCCTTCGGAGAAACCCTCCATCGTGCACGGGCAGGCTGTCGGCTTGCCTCCGCGCCACCACCCGGCGGCCCAGCCCGGGAGTCCCGCGGGCAGCGCCTCGCAGGCCCAGCCCGCGCCGCTGTTGGACGAAGAAGGGGGGCAGCTCGCCAGCAGGCCCGATGCCAGTGCGCACTCCAGCCTGCCCAGTGCGCCAGCCGGACGAGACAGCAGAGACAGAAGAGGGTGAAACGGCATGAACCTTCACTCTTGGCGCCCCGCGCGGCCTTCCTGGATCCGCGCCGGAGCCCCCTCCCCGGCGCGGAGCGCGCCATGCAGGGGCGGCGCCGGAGGCGCCCCCGGGGGGCCCAGCGCAGATCCAAGAAATTCGCGCGGAGCGCCAAAGGTTATGTTTGTGGCGATTTTTTGTTCCTCTTCGATCATCCCAAGGCTTTGAAAGTCTGGGCACCTTGCCAGCTGCGAAGCCTGCCGCCCCCTCGCCGCATCCCCCTCGCTGATGGGGGGCCGAACGGGGGAGGCTGGCGCAGGGTCGGGGGTTGCTTAGGGTGCCCCTGGCCCGAGGCACCCCTAGCTATTCGCTCAATCTTGGAGCCCCTGGGGCCCTCTGAGCATCGTGGGGGGTGCTCTGGAGGCCGTGGGGGCCTCCTTCGAAATCCTGGGGGCACCTTGGGCCAGGAACATTTCCAGCAACACCCCAGAGGGGGGAGACGATGCCCTGAAATCCGCCGGTCCTGCGTGTGAGTCCCGAAGAGCCTGAGCTATATTGCCTACAGTCGACCCGTAGAGTAAGGATGAGCGATAAGGATGCAAGAGCCTCGGACGCCCATGTCGAAGCTTCTCGAGCGGGGCACGGAAGGATGGACCGAGGAGGCAAGGATGCGAGGGTGCCCTTGGGAAAATTGCCCATGCTTACCATGCGGGTTGACTGCACAGTTACGTCGGGTCTGTCCCCCTACAGGGGGATTTCCGACGACAATACCCCAAACATAGCCCAAAAGGGTCAAACAAATACTTTAAACATAGTCCCCAGACTATGTTTGGATTATGTTTGCTGTATTTTTAACTTTTCGTCGGAAATCCCCCTGCAGGGGGACAGGCCCGACTTAACGGTACAGCCTAAGCTTCAGCTCTGCTGCGGGGGGGGGGGGGGGAGCGGGGGGGCTCCGCCGGGGAAGGGGGAGGGGCGCCTGTGCTCCGTTGTCTGGGCGGGGCGAAGCACGTTAACAATCACCCAAAATTCCCACCCCGGGGACCAGGAAGCCCAAGCCGGCCGCCAGATGGTTCCAGGCGGCTCAAGAGGCACCCAGGATGGCCAAGGATGCGCTCCAGAACAGGCCCGATGAGGCACAGAGCATGAACTTTCCACATGCTTCTGAAAGATCTGGGCGCTTCATTCTTTTCAGCCTCCCGACGGCTCCAGAGACCCCCAAGATCGCCCCAGAAGCCTCCACGATGGCCCTATGAAGGCCCAAGAGGCTCCTGAGACGGCTCCACGAGGGTCCCAAGACGGCCCCATAGGCCCACAAGACGGCCAAGATGGCCTCCAAGACAGCTTAAGCGCACTCAGGGCTCCCAGACGGCACAGCGAGGCGCCCAAGACGGCTTCCGACGGCGTCCGACGGGCCACGAACGCCCTAAGACAGCCAAAAAGGTTTCCAAGAGGCTCAAGACCCCCTCAAGAGGCCTCCTCCTACGACGGCCCAAGAGGGCACCAAGACGGCCCTGGAGACCTCCAAGCGAACCCGAGCACCATCGGGAGCGCCCCGGATCGGCGATACTGGCCGGAGGCCACTGCAGTCGGCAGTACATCGCAGAAGGAATCGGCGATGGGCCCCCGACAGCGAATTCGCACGCTCCCGAACGGGTGGGGGGGCCCGAACTCAAAGGCGCGGCCCGACCCTCCCGAGGTCTGGGTCAGGGGCATTTCGCCCGCGGACTCGTGAAGGCTTTCACGCTGCTGCTGCCTCTGCGCTTCAAGCCGGAGCTGTCGGCACGCCTTCGGCGCGTCGTGGCCGCCTCCTCGCTTGGAATTGGCTGTGGAGGACTCCCTCGAGCGCCGCACAGGGAGACCTTCTTGGGGCCCGAGCCCCCATTGGGCAAGTTGAGCAGGGACGGACCGTCCCAGCGTTCCTGTAGGCCTACTACGAAATGTTCTTAGAACCCAAACATGTTCTAAGAACAACAACAATGTTCTTTGAACATAAGCCCGATGTGTTAAAACAAGATAGTCCCAACCAGACGTGTTCTGAGAACAGCCCGCGGAAACTGTAACAAGTTCTCAGAACATTGCTTGGTAGGCCCACAGGCGAGCCAGGACGCATCTTCGCCACTGCTCGCGTAAAGAGTGGGCGTCCGCGAGCCGATGAGGAGGAGGAGGAGGAGGAGGAGGAGGAGGAGAAGGAGGAGGAGGAGGAGGACAAGCTAGGTGCGCTCGCGTCATATCTGACATCCTACCCCTCCCTCCCATCCCTTACCATGGCGCAGATCCCCTCTCTACTCGCTCAGTCGGATGTCGAGCAGGGCAATGATCCCGAAAGGGTACGCGATGCATTGTAGAGCACGGCATGGCATGGCGTAGAAGAGCACCGCAAAGCGTAGTATGAACCTAGCATTGCATTGCATGCCGTGGCATGGCACGGGAAATGACGCCAGCGCTGCAGCGGGAGCACGAGTCGAAACGAGCGGAAGCGCGGAAATGAGGCCAGCGCTGCAGCGGGAGCACGATTCGGAACGAGCGGAAGCACGGAAATGAGGCCAGCGCTGCAGCGGGAAGCCACGATTCGGAACGAGCGGGGCCCGAAAATGAGACCGGCGCCTCAGCGAGAGCAGCATTTTGAACAAAAACAAATGCAGGCGAAAACCCAACTCCGGGGAAACCTGTGTCGAAACAAATCAATACGCGGGGGGGGGGGCGAGCACTTTCAAACCGTCATCAGGGGAAGAGGGAGAGTAGTACTCATATTGAGTAAATGTGGAGGAGGAGGATGAGGAGGAGGAGGAGGAGGAGGGGGAGAGGAGGAGGAGGGGGAGGAGGAGGGGAGAGGGGAGGAGGAGGAGGAGGAGGAGGAGGAGGAGGAGGAGGAGAGGAGGAGGAGGAGGAGGAGAGGAGGAGGAGGAGGAGGAGGAGGCTCCCCCCCCCCCTGGACCAGCCTCCCCCCCTGTCCTGTGCGCGCCGCCGGGCGGCGGGAGGGGCAGACCGCCGGAGACGCGCCGACGCCGCTGCAGCGGCCCCCTCCCGCCCGCCGGCGGCACACTGCCCCCGGCGCCGGCGGGGGCCCGCCGCCGTGGACGCCCAGCCGGGGCACGCGGCTCCCAGGAGAGCCCGCGGCCAGGAGGCGGGCCGCGAGGCCGAGAGGAGGAGAGGGGGCTGGCTCGAGGGGGGAAGGGGGGCACGGCACAACCCTGACCTTCCAGAGAGCTATTCTTTAGCACGGGAGGCCTGAAAACCTAAAAAACGAAACGAGACAGCCTAAAACCAAGACATAGAACAGCTCTGGGATAGGTTTTTAAGTCGCGTGCTATTTTTTAGCCCTCCTGGAAGGTCAGGGGGGAAGGGGGGGCACAACTCGGGTCAGGTTGGGCCTTCGTGGGCCCTGGAAACGACGGGGCCTTTTTTTTACGGGTTCCGTTCTGCCGTTTTTGTTGCCGGTTCCGACGCCGTTTTTGTTACCGGTTCCGTCGCCGTTCTGTTGCGGGTTCCCGCTCCGGTTCCAATCCTGGAGTCGTTCTTGTTGCCGTTTCTGGTCGCCGTTTTTTTTGTTGCCGTTTCCATTTTCAAGGGGCATTTTTTCGGAAACGGTGAAAAACGGCCCTGCGGTTTCCGGGGCCCACTAAGGGTCGGGCATGTCCTCCCACAGGCGGATTTGCGGAAGACAAGTATGGAACAACTGTTCTCGAGATAGTCTGACATCGAAAAGAGAGCACGCCAGAATCGCTCCGGGGCAACTTCTACAACTTCTGCGCACTCCTCCTGTAGAGGGACATTGAAGGGGAACTGGGACACACAAATAAATAGACACAAATAACCAGATTCCCAACATTCTTCCCCTATTTTCTGGGTTTCTCTCTTCCCCCCCACTTCCCATATTTTCCATCCTTTTCTGGGGAGTCGACGATTCATTGTGTCTGTGTTTTTTGTTTCCCCTCCTGAGACATGCCCGACTGCAAAGCTCGGGCGACGCCGTCGCTACCTCGGGCCGCTCCTGGCCGGGCCTCCCCTGCGCCGGCAGGGTCGGTGCCGGCGCCTTCCCTGAACTTCCAGGAGGGCTAAAAAATAGCACGCGACTTAAAAACCTTTCCCAGAGCTATTATATGTTTTGGTTTTTTTTGGCTGTTTCGTTTTTTTTATGTGTTTTGGCTTCCCGTGCTAAAAAAATAGCTCTCTGGAAGGTCAGGGTTCCTGGCCTCGGGTCGGGCACGTCCTCCTCCTGGACGGGCGGCTCTCTGGGAACGCGGAGCCTCAAAGAACACGCAGGACAGTCAACAAGTCAGTGGAACAACGTGGTCCCCCGACTCTTCTTGGACTGGTTCTGCACCGACCCCTCGCATTATGCCGGGCCTGTCCCCCTACAGGGGGATTTTCGACGAAACATGAAACATACCCCCAAACATAATCCAAAAAGGATCAAGAAATGGTCGGGGGACTGTTTTTTGTTTGCATTTGTTGGCCTTTTGGGGGGGCATTCGTTGGGGTATCCTTTATTTTTCGTTGAAAATATCTCGGCTACACGCAAGAGTGACCCTTGGCAAGAGTGGCCTTTAGTGCGCGGCTTTTGGGCGCCGCGGGGGGGCCAAACACAGTCGCGCAAGACGCTACCACCGCATCGCGTTCGGCGATTGGGGGACCCCATTTGGCCCGCACCAAGGGTCACTCCGGCGAAAGGTCACTCTTACGTCTAGCCGAATATCTCCGTAGGGGGCATCATTTTTTTATACCGGTGTTGGCCCTTACTCGAAACTTCCTTTTCCCCAGGGATGGGCGTCAGGCCCCCGCCTTCTCCCCGGCGCGCGGAGGGCGCCGAGGGCGTCGCGGGGAGGCGCGGCCAGAGGGGTCCCGGCGCGCCGACGCGAGAGGCCCGCGCGGGCCTCTCGAAGAGTACCGTCGGGGCGTTGACCTATATAAGGAACCCTAAATAAGGAACGAGGCCCTTTTTCTCCACGAATGAAACTCCGATTTCCCATCGAAGACCTACGGAAAACAGAAGGCAAACTGTGAAACAATTAAGGAACACGGAGCCCCTCCCCAACGAAAAGGGTTCCTTCTTCAGGGCCCCACTGTATGCTCATGCCTCAGATCCAGGAGAGCCCAGAATCGAGTCGACAAGTCGGATCGGCTACCGAAAAGAATCGGATCGGCGGGAATCGGCAGCCGCGTCGGGAAAAGTCGAATCGGCGGAAATCGGGAGGCTAGTATGTCTCCAATGACAAATCGGAGCCCAAATCGGGATCCCAAATCGAATCGAATCGGAGCCATCGAAGTCGAATCGAGTCGAATCGGAGGAATCGAAACGAACCCATCCCACTGGCCCTGTGGGGTCTGTGGTTTAGCGAGTTTCCTCTTCCATTTCCCCGTGCTACCCTTCGGGGAGGGATTTCGTCCCTCCCTCGACCCCCCCCCCTGGACCAAGACGGGGCGTTTCGACACCGACTGGACCGTCCAACACGGCCTTGGCGAGAGGACGCAAATCATTGACTGCACCCAGGTTTTGTACCCATTCATTGTGGTTTCGGGGGGGGGAACTCGTTCCCCGGTTGATCGACTCGTCTCCTGGTTGAATGACTCGTTCCCCGGCGGAAGTTCGTAGATGGAGCTTCTGAGAGGCTTCTTCTCGGCGGCCGCCAAGATGGTTCTTGGCGGCCCCTGAGAGGGTTCTTGGCGGCCGCAGATAAGTCTCCTGGCGGCCCCTGGTAGGGTTCTTGGCGGCCCTCAAGAAAGGTTCTTGGCGCCCCCCAAAAAGGTTTCTTGGCGGCCCCTGAGGGGGTTCTTAGCGGCCCTTGAGAGGGTTCTTGGCGACCCCTGAGAAGGTTTTTGGTGGCCACTGAAAGGGCACTTGGCCGCCTCCAAAAATGTTCTTGGCGGACCCTGAAATTGTTATCAGCGGCTCCTGGGAAGGTTCTTGGCGGGCGGCCCCCAAGAAGGTTCTTGGCGGCCTCCAAGAAGGTTCTTGGCGCCCCCTGAGAGGGTTCTTGGCGGCCCCCGAGAAGGTGCGTGGCTGCCCCTGAGGGGGATCTTGGCGGCCCCATGAGAGGTTTGCTTGGCAGCCCCTAAGACGCCCCGTAGCGGCCCCCGAGAGGGTTCTTGGCTGCCCCATGAGAGGGTTTTGGGCGCCCCCTGAGAGGCCTCCTGGCGGCCCCTGAAAGTGTCCTTGGCAGCCTCTGAGGAGTTTGTTGGCGGCCTCTGAAGGGCTCCTGGCTGCCTATGGAAGCGCTTCTTGGCAACCTCCCATCCGAAGCCTTTGGGAGCCCCCAGAGGTGTTTCTGAAACAAATACATGATAGCCCTCTGAGAGACCTCTTAGAGTCCTCGCGGAGGCCTCTGGGGGCCCTCAGAGTGATCTCCCATTTAGAGGCCTCTGAGAGCTCTCAGAGATGCCTCTGGGAGGCCCCCGATAGATCCTTGAGATCCCTCTGCGAGCTCTCTGGGAACTTTCTGAGTCATCTGAAAGCCGTCGGAATAGCTTCTTATTGTGGCTAGGTAGCCGCGGCTGCACTCCTTCGGCTGCGCACGTTCCTGGTGGGCCAATGTCGCGGCAAGAGAAGATGCGCATGCGCGCTATCCCCCTCGTTTTCGCCGCTTTGAACAAGGATCCACCCGCTTCTTCTGGTCGCCCCCTCAGCCCCTCAGCCCCCGCCTCGCACGGCGCCTCCCTCTGGGATGCCTCGAGAGGGCCTGGAGTGGAGCTCAAGCGAGAACCCCGTTTTGAATACAGAGCCGCCCTCAACCTCCTCCTCTGGGCCTTCTCTGGTTCCCCCCTCGGCCCCAGAGGCCTGGGTCCCCGCCTCGCACGGCGCCTCCCTCTAGGATGCCTCGAGAGGGCCTGCAGTGGAGCTCGAGCGGGATCCCCGTTTAGAAAAAGGAGCTGCCGGCACTTCCTCCTCTGGGCCTTTTCTGGTTGCCCCCTCAGCCCCCAGAGGCCTCGGGCCCCGCCTCGCACGGCGCCTCCGTCTGGGATGCCTCCAGAGGGTCCCCGTTGCAGGCGAAACGCAAACAAGCAGAACAACACTCAGACCGACAGTGCGTCAGACCAAACGAGCAGGCGGCAACAACATTCAAACTCCACCACAACAAACGAACAAACGAGCAGGCGAGCAGCACAAACTAGCAGGCGATTCGAGCAAACGAGCAGGCGACCGACGGCGACAACGACATTACCCCGCGCCGCGGGCCCCCTTTCACTCACGACTCTCAGCACTGATGGTGATTGTGGGTTTGGGGGGCTCGTTCCTGGGTTGCGAGCTGTTGTGCTCGTGGCTGAATGTGGGTCGGCGGTCCTCCTCCTTCTCCTCCTCCTCCTCCACTTCCTCCTCCTCCTCCTCCTCCTCCTCCTCCTCCTCCTCCTCCTCCTCTGTTTCCTCCTCCTCGTCCTCGCCGTCCCTCTTCTCTCCCAGCTCCTCCTCCTTCTCCCGTTCCTCCCCCCGTTCTCTGGCTGTTCCTCCTTCAGCCCCTCCACCTCCTGTTCCTCCTGCTCCTGGAGCCTGCTCCTTGTCCTCCTTTTGTTCCCCCTCCTCCTCCTCGTAGATCCTCTTTCCTCTTGCCCCCTTCGATTATCGCTCCTCCTCCTCCCCCTCCTCCTCCTCCTCCTCGATCCTCTTGCCTCTTCCTCCTCCTCCTCCTCCTCCACTTCCTCCCTCCTCCCGCCCTTCTTCCCTCTCACTTGTTTCAGTCCCCATATCCTCCTCCTCCTCCTCTTCCTCCTCCTCCTCCTCGCGATGGATCCATCGTGCGCGCAACACCTTTCGGTGATTCAGAAGCGAAGGTTCTCCAACATTGGTAAGAGCAAAGCCATTGCCACGTACACTAGTACAACAACATTCCTGACGAACTCGTTCCCCGGTTGAAATCATGTTGTTTCGGCGGCAACGTAAGTGGCTATGTGTAAGGGTTGAACTCGTGATTGTGATCGCTACGACATCTGAACAACACGGTTTCAACTATGAAGTCCACCGGGGAATGAGATCTTTCACATTGGTGCTACTTCCGCCGAGAAACGAGTCGAACAACCTGGGACCGAGTCGTTCAACAGGGGAACGAGTCGCTCGCCTGTGGGGGGGGGGGTCGAGTTGAGAATCGCTCCCTTCTTCCATCGATCTCCTCCGAGATGGCCCCATAATGGCTCCCAAGGTTCCCAAGAGTGCCCCAAGACGGCCGCAAGAGGCGCCCAGGACCCATGAGGCCCAAAGAGGCGCCCAGGAGGCCATCAAGAGGCTCCCAAGAGACCCCCAAGAGGCTCCCTCGAGGCACCCAAGGCGCTCAAAGAGGCCCCCAGGACCGCTGATTAAGAGGCCCCCATGACGCCCCAAGAGGACTCAAAAAGATCCAAAGAGACTCCGTAGAGACTGGCCATTCTGCTCGCCCTCCTCCTCCTCCTCCTCCTCCTCCTCCCTCCTCCTCCGCCTGTTCCTCATCCTCCGCCTGGTCCTCCTCTTCTTCTTCCTCCTCCTCCTCCTCCCCGTCGTCGCCCTCCCTCCTCCCTGTTCCCCATCCCCCATCCCCTGGTCCTTCTCCTCCTCCTTCTCCTCCTCCTCCTCCTCCCTCCTCCCTCCGCCATCCTCCTCCTCCTCCTCCATCCTCCCCCTCTTGGGATATGACAACTTCCCATGGTCATGTTCCTGTCCCCGATTTAGTCTAGCGCGTTCCACTACTCGCAAAGTGACTACTCGCCGATGGCCCAGATCCGCCGCGGGGGGGGGGGGCGATCCAGTTCATCTGGGGGGACATCTGCTTTTGCCGGACGCTTGCGAGTAGGCACTCTGCGAGCGAGCAGCGGAACGCGCTCGGTGACGATTGGAACCGCCGACCCTGCGCCAATCATTTCTCGGGTCGGGCGAAAGGGGGGGATAGCAAAGGGGGGATTTGAGAATCAGCCCACGTAGCTGATTTTCCCGGCGCCTCCAGGCGCCGGGAGCGGCCATGTATCGAGGAATTGGCCCATCGGTGAGGCCGAAACCAGCTGCATGCAGCAAATTTCGCAAACCCCCCCTTCATCCCCCCCTTTCGCCCGACCCGAATTTCCCCCCCGCCCCCCCGTGCCGGCGCCCCCGAGAGCTCACCGCGCCGTGCCGCCCAGCTGCTCCAGGAGCCCGCGCTCCCGCTGGCTCGCGGCGTGGGCCGCGTCGTAGTCCTCTCGTGGGCGTGGGAGCCGTGCCGGCCTCGCGGCCTGGGCCCCTGGGCCGCGCCCCATATGGATTAGCGGCCTCCTCCTCCCCTCCTCCTCATCCTCCCTCCTCCTCCTCCACCTCCTCCCTTCCTCCCTCCTCCCTCCTCCCTCCCTCCCTCCTCCCTCCTTCCTCCTCCTCCTCCTCCTCCTCCTCTCCTCTCCCTCCTACTCGTCGTCCTCCTCCTCCTCCTCCTCCTCCTCCGCCGCGGCCCATAGTCGGGGGTGCTGAATAAGGAGCCCTTTTCGCTGGGGAGGGGCTCAGTGTTCCTCGATTGTTTCAAAGCTTGCCTCGGGTTTTCCTGAGGGCTTCCATAGGAAAGCGAGGCTGAACTTATCGGAAAAAGGGGCCCCGTTCCTTATTTAGGGTTCCTTAGGTCAACGCCTCGACGGTAGCTGGGGTCAGAGGATCGCGCCGCATCGCCAATGCATCGCAGATGCATCGGCGACGCATCGGCGATGCACCGGCGACGTCGGCAATGCATCGGCGACGTCAGCGTGGGGAAACACGGGCTCCATATCGAGCAGCATCCGCGATGCATCGGCGATGCGGCGCGATCCTCTGACCCCCATCCACTCGGCCCCCCATCCAGGAGGCCTAGAATGGATGCGGGGCGCCTTTCCGCGGATGCCTCGAACCGCACGCATCCGTGCGACCGCGTGTCCTCGGGAATCCAGTCCGCGGGGGCGTGGACCCAGGTCTCCGATGCCTTGATGCTTTCTACGCGGGGGCCCCCATGTGCTCTGGACCACTTCCCCGTGGCCAGAGTCCTGCCCCAGTCGGGAGCGGCCAAAAGGGGGGTGTCCAAGAGGGGGGGGTGCAAATCATGACCGGCAGCATGTGCGCGGCCCAGCGGGGGGGCCAGGGACGTAATGAAATAAGAAGAGGCGCCGTGAAATCTGCGGAAAAATCATGGCCCGCGCCATGACATCCACCCCCCCTTAGTCATCACCCCCCCCCTTTGCCGCCCCCGACCCAGGCCATTCTCTCTGGCAGCAGCCTGGGCCGGGCCCCGGTGCGGCGAGGGCCTCCCTGAGGCCGGCACACGGCGACACACTCCCGTCTCGATGTTCCTCAATTCGGGGAGACGTAAGACCCGGGTACGGGGGACTCGGAAATCCCCGACGAGGTCGTCAAAAAATGACGAGGCCGAGCCTGCATTTTGACGAGGCCTCCCGCTGCAGACATCCCACAAAACTCCTCCTCGTCAAAATCCGAGGCGCGGTCGTCAAAAAACGATGGCGAACCCGAGTCCTGGCAAACCCAGGTCTTACGCTCCCCCGATCAATGCGCGCTGAAGGTCTGGGGAGGTGGATCTTCTCGCCGCTCGCCGTCCTCGGCGAGCACGGCCGCGCGCTTCTCGGCCCGCGCGCCCGCGAGCTCCGCCTGACGTTTTTCTGGGCACCAGCAGTGGGGACGGAGCAAAAGTTGGCACGACCCCCAGAAACACAGGATGTCAAAAACCGGCAGCGCCCGCCGTTGGGCAGCCGGCCGTCCGTCTCGAGCGGGCAGCATCCGCGGCAACGCAGCCAGCGAGGCCTGCTCCACATGAGCGGGATTGCATGATTCCCGTACCCAATCGCTCCTGCTTCCTGAGGGGCCGAACGACATCGCTCGTGCACATGCATCCGACGTGTTGACTTCTTGAATTTCCCGGCCCCCTTGCATTCCCAAACCAGTCCCTGGGAGCGGCCGTTCGTCCCGAGTCCATGCATTCATGGTCCCGCGGGGCCCAGCGATGGCATCCGGAGGCCAACCACAGCGAAAAGCGTCGGAAGGATGTGTTTCAGTGCGTTGGATCGGCGGCGAGCCCGGGGGGAACAGTGAGAGCGAGAAAGCCTTCCTCAGAAGGCTCAGAAAGCCTGCCGCGACGCGTTGGGGGAGGAGGAGGAGGAGGAGGAGGAGGAGGAGGAGGAGGAGGAGGAGGAGGAGAAGGAGAGGAGGAGGAGGAGGAGGAGGAGGAGGAGGGAGGAGGTGAGGGGGAAGGAAGAGGAGGGATGCCGAGGAAGTCTGCTCAGAAAGAGAAGGAGAGAGAGAGAGAGAGAAAGAGAGAGAGAGAGAGAGAACAAAAAAAAACGAGCCTTCTGAGAAGTGCTCGAGGCCCTCCCCGACGACACTGCAAAAAGCTTCTCAGAAGGTCCCAGGCCTTCTCGGAAGCCCCGCCTGCACGGTTTTCCCCGGGGCCGCAGGCGACCCGAAGAGGAGGAGGAGGAGGAGCAGGAGGAGGAGGAGGGGGAGGAGGAGGAGGAGGAGGAGGAGGAGGGGGAGGAGGAGGAGGAGGAGGAGGAGGAGGAGGAGGAGGAGGAGGAGGAGAGGAGGAGGAGGAGGAGGAGGAGGAGGAGGAGGAGGAGGAGGAGGAGGAGGAGGAGGAGGAGGAGGAGGGGAGGAGGAGGAGGGGGAGGGGGAGGGGGACAAGCTAGGTGCGCTCGCGTCATATCTGACATCCTACCCCTCCCTCCCATCCCTTACCATGGCGCAGATCCCCTCTCTACTCGCACAGATGGATGTCGAGCAGGGCAATGATCCCGAAAGGGTACGCAATGCATTGTAGAGCACAGCATGCGTAGAAGAGCACCGCAAAGCGTAGTATCAACCTAGCATTGCATTGCATGCCGTGGCATGGCACGGGAAATGACGCCAGCGCTGCAGCGGGAGCACGAGTCGAAACGAGCGGAAGCGCGGAAATGAAGCCAACGCTGCAGCGGGAGCACGATTCAGAAGAAGCGGAAGCACGGAAATGAGGCCAACGCTGCAGCGGGAACACGATTTGGAACGAACGGGGCCCGAAAATGAGGCCGGCGCCTCAGCGAGAGCAGCATTCTGGAAAAAAATGCGGGCGAAAACCCAACTCCGGGGAAACCTGTGTAAAAACAGTGCGCGGGGGGGGGTCCGACACTTTCAAACCGTCATCAGGGGAAGAGGGAGAGTAGTATTCATATTGAGTAATTGTGGAGGAGGGTGAGGGGGGAGGAGGAGATGGAGGACGAGGACGAGGAGTAGGAAGAGGAGGAGGAGGAGGAGGAGGAGATGGAGGACGAGGACGAGGAGTAGGAAGAGGAGGAGGAGGAGGAGGAGGAGAGGAGGAGGACGGCCAAGGAGGAGGAGAGAGGAGGAGGCGGAGGAAGGAGGAGGAGAAGAGGGGGAGGGGGAGGGGTGAGGGGGAGGGAGGAGGAGGAGGAGGAGGAGGATGAGGAGGAGGAGGAGAGGAGGAGGAGGAGGATGAGGAGGAGGAGGAGGAGGAGGAAGGAGGAGGAGTGAGGAGAGGAGGAGGAGGAGAGGTGAAGGGAGGATGTTAGGAGGGAGGAGGAGGAGGAGGAGGAGGAAGGAGGAGGAGGAGGAGGAGGAGGAGGAGGAGTGGAGGAGGAGGGGAGGAGGAGGAGAAGGAGGAGGAGAGGAGGAGGAGGAGGAGGAGGAGGAGGAGGACGGGGGCGGGGGAGGGGGGGGAGGAGGAGAGGAGGAGGAGGAGAGGCAGGAGGAGGAGGAGAGGAGGAGGAGGAGAGGAGGAGGAGGGGAGGGAGGAAGAGGAGGAGGAGGAGGAGGAGGAGGAGTGGGGGAGGAGGAGGAGGAGGAGGAGGAGGAGGAGGAGGGAGGAGGGAGGGGAGGAGGAGGAGGAGGAAGGAGGAGGAGGAAGGAGGAGGAGAAGTAGGAGGAGAAGGAGAAGGAGGAGGAGGGGAGGTGGAGGTGGAGGTGGAGGTGGAGGAGGAGGATGAGGAGGAGGAGGAGGAGGAGGAGGACAGGAGGAGGAGTGAGGAGGAGGAGGAGGAGAAGGGGAGGAGGAGGGGCAGGAGGAGGAGGAGGAGGAGGGGGGGGAGGAGATTTGAGGGAGAGGGGGAGGAGGAGGAGGAGGAGGATGAGGAGGAGGAGGAGGATGAGGAGGAGGAAGAGGGAGGAGAGGAGGAGGAGGAGGAGTGGAGGAGGAGGAGGAGGAGGAGGAGGAGGCCGACGGAGGGAGGGGGAGGGGGAGAAGATGGAGGAGGAGGAGGGAGGAGGAGGAGGAGGAGGAGGAGGAGGAGGAGGAGGACGGGTCGCCTGAGCCGTGCAGAGAAGCACTCCAGCCCCGCTGCCTTCTGAGAAGGCTTTCTACTTCTCATTTCCCCCACTCGCTCGCCGACGATTGGAGGCCTGGGTGTAGAGGCCTCCTAGATGGGGTCGGATCAGATGGGGACGGAGGATGGCGCCGCATCGACGATACATCGGCGATGTATTGGCGATGTATCGGCGATGCACCGGCGATGCACCGCCGACGCCGGCGACGCATCGGCGACGTCGGTGTGGAAACAAACGGGCTCTGCATCGAGCCGCTTCGCCGATGCATCGGCGATGCGGCGCGATCCTCCGACCCCATCTACTCGGACCCTTTGTAGGAGGCCTAGAGTTAGGTCGGGCATGTCCTCCTACAGGGGGTTCTGGGCGACAAATTCAAATTACCCCTAACATTGTCCCAAATGCTCAAAAATACTTTAACTAATCTTCCCCATACTATGATTTAAACTACTTGTGGAGATTCCTCCTGTAGATGGACACGCCCGACTTACGCCTAGAGATTGGAGGCCACGAGCCCTTAGAACATGAACCCGATGTGTTAAAACAGGACAGGTCCCAGCCAGAAATGTTCCAAGAACACGTCGTGGAAACCACAAAAAGGTCCTCAGAACAATGTCTGAGAGAGCGCGCCCGCAGGGCCCGAGCAAAGGGGAGGGGGGGCTAGGCTTAAGCTACCCCCCCCTCCTCCCTTTAGCCGCCCTTGTTGGAAGCACCCCCCACCCTCCCCCCTTTTTTTTGCAAGGGGGGGGCGACCAGCTAAAGCGTCCAAGCCTTTTCCCCCCTCGTTGGGCCCTCCCCGGAAGCTCCCCCCCCCTCCTCACCCCCTTTCCAAAGGGGTTGGGGTGTTAAGCTAACCTCCCCCCCTACTTGGCGTGCCTATGCGGAAACTCCCCCCCCCTCCCCCCCTTCGTGCAAAGGGGGGGTGCTGGAAGCTACCCACATCCCCCCAACCCTTTGGCGGGCCCCGGAAGCTACCCCCCCTCATACCCCCCTTTCCAAAGCGGAGGGGGTGCTTAAGCTACCGCCCCCCTCCCTTGGAGCCGCCCTGCTGGAAGCTCCCACCCCCCTCCCCCCCTTTGTGCCAAAGGGGGGGGGGGCTTGGAAGCTTGCCCCCCCCCCTTGCCCCCTTTGGCCGCCCAGCCCCCGGAGCCTCCGCCCTCCCTTTCGCCGACGATCCAAAATGAACAATCCACGATCGAGGATGGACGATCGACGATCAACGATCGACGATCGAAAATCCCAATCGAATCGCTTGCAATCGATTGCACTCCATTCCACTGCAATCCCCCTCCCCACCTCCCTCCGCTCCCTCCCCTCCCTCCACACCCTTCGTTCCATCTCCTCCCTCCCCTCCCTCTCCTCCCCTCCCTCCCTTCCGTCCTGTCCCTTCCCTGCAATCCAATCGATTGAATCGATTGCAATTCAACCGATTGCAATCCAATCGATTGCAATCCAATGGATTGCAATCGAATCGTTTGCAATCCAATGGATTGCAATCGATTGCAACGCAAGTGTATCATTCAACTCGTCCCGTGCCAACGCCCGGGAACGAAAAATTACCCTGGCGACGTACCCAACCCCTGCGCAAACGCGGGGCGCAAATAGTTTAGGACACTTTATAAGGGGGGCGATGACGGAGCGAGGGTTACATATGTCTGCAGACGGAATTCGGGAGACTCGCAGGAAACTGGCTTCAGGACAAGGACTAGATAAAGCTGATTAGTTGCAATCCCTGAGCAACCCTAGCCACTTCGAAAGCGGGGATCTCAGATCGCAGCCCCCCAGGGATGGCGAGGTCTAATTTGGGTCCGCGCGTGGCGTCACTGTGCTGGGCCCCCCAGCAGGCCTCGAAAGTGGCGACAGTTTCACAGATCGCAGCCCCCCAGGGATGGCGAGGTCTAATTTGGGTCCGCCGTGGCGCCACTGTGCTGGGCCCCCCAGCAGGCCTCGAAAGTGGCGACAGTTTCACAGATCGCAGCCCCCCAGGGATGGCGAGGTCTAATTTGAATATGCGGTGAGTACCCACTGTGCTGGGCCCCCCAGCAGGCCTCGAAAGTGGCGACAGTTTCACAGATCGCAGCCCCCCCAGGGATGGCGAGGTCTAATTTGGGTCCGCCCGTGGCGTCACTGTGCTGGGCCCCCCAGCAGGCCTCGAAAGTGGCGACAGTTTCACAGATCGCAGCCCCCCAGGGATGGCGAGGTCTAATTTGAGTCCGCGCGTGGCGTCACTGTGCTGGGCCCCCCAGCAGGCCTCGAGAGTGGCGACAGTTTCACAGATCGCAGCCCCCCAGGGATGGCGAGGTCTAATTTGGGTCCGCCCGTGGCGTCACTGTGCTGGGCCCCCCAGCAGGCCTCGAAAGTGGCGACAGTTTCACAGATCGCAGCCCCCCAGGGATGGCGAGGTCTAATTTGGGCCCGCCCGTGGCGTCACTGTGCTGGGCCCCCCAGCAGGCCTCGAAAGTGGCGACAGTTTCACAGATCGCAGCCCCCCAGGGATGGCGAGGTCTAATTTGGGTCCGCCCGTGGCGTCACTGTGCTGGGCCCCCCAGCAAGCCTCGAAAGTGGCGACAGTTTCACAGATCGCAGCCCCCCCGCAAGCAAGACAGGAGGAGGCAAGAGGGAGACGGGACGGGAAGGAGGAAGTGGAGACCACACTGCTCTATTCAAAACGAATACCCAACCAAGGAGGGTTGGGAAAAATACTATCCCCCCCGAAAGTTGCACGAAGTGTAATTCGGAAAACGCCAGCCCGTCGGGTTTGGCAGTGTTCGTGTAAGACGGCGGCCAGCTGGGGGAGGAGGAGGCGGAGGATGGGGGAGGCCGAGGGGGGGAGGAGGAGGAGGAGGATGGGGAAACGGAGGAGGAGGATCACGAGGAGGAGGAAGAGGATGATGATGATGATGATGATGATGATGATGATGATGATGATGAGGAGGAGGAGGATGATGAGGAGGAGGAGGAGGAGGGAAAAATGGAGGAGGAGAAAACCGAGGAAGGAGGAGGAGGAACGGAACGGAAGGACCCGCGGGGGAGTACGATGATGATGATGATGATGGTGATGATGATGATGATGACGATGATGACTATGAGGAGGATGAGGAGGACGAGGAAGAGGAGGATGCAAAAGGAAGAAGAGGAGGGAGAGGGGCGGGAATAAATGGAAGCGAAAGGGAGGGCGATGGCTCCGGGAGCTGGGCGGCCAAAGGGGGGAAGGGGGGGGGCTTCAAGCCCCCCCCCCCTTTTGCACCAAGGGAGGGAAGGGGGGGGGGGCTTCCAAAGCCCCCCCCCTCTTTCAAAGGGGGGGGGGTGGCTCACCCCAGCTCCATTAAAAGGAGGGAGGGAGGGGGGGGGATAGCTTCCGAAGCCCCCCCCCTTTCAAAGGGGGGGGTGGCTCACCCCGGCTCAGTTAAAGGGAAGCAGGGGTGGGGGGGTAGCTTGGAAGCCCCCCCTCCCCCTTTCCGGACCACGGAAAGGGGGAGACGGGGGGGGGGTCCGAAGCCCCCCCCCCCTTTAGCAAGGAAGGGGGGAGGGGGGTAGCTTCAAGCTGGGGCCCCCCCCTTTAATCTATCGGGCCCCACGCGCGCGCTCTATCCAATGTCTGGTAGGCCTACGGGCACGCCAGGACGCTCCGCCACTGCTTGGCATGTATAGGAGGCCTAGAGCCTGGAGGCCCGGGAGCCCTTCTCGATTGAAGGGGCCCTGGGACACACAAATAGATACACACAAATAAAAAATGATTCCCCATATTTTCTTTTATTTTCTGGGATTTTGTCTTCCCCCCCACACTTCCCATACTTTCCCCTATTTTCCTGGGAATCGACGATTCATTGTGTCTGTGTGTTTTTCCCCTCCTGATCGACAACAGCGCAACATACACCAAAACACAGCGCCCATGCCCCCGCACATGCCCGGGCACGACGTGCACAGCAGGAAGCCCATCCAAGAAGGGCCGCACAGGCCTGGCACATGACTGGCACATGCCGCGCACATGACAACGCAAAAACGGCCGCACATTTGGTAATCCCCAAACGTGGTGGTGACAACATCTGGCGGTGAGTCTCGGGCGATTTGGTGTCACCACCCGGTTTGGGGACTCGTGCGGTTTCCCGAGGATGTCCCGAACACTGGTGGGTCCAGGAGTCACAAAACCCGGCGGTGACCCCGCGTCCCCAAACCCAGCGGTGACCTTTTTGGGGATTCCAGGTCGCCACCTGGTATCTCACCACCCGGTTTGGGGGTTCCCAACACATACACCCACCCAGGGGTATAGATGTGAGTGCGGTGTATCGTCCCGAGAGAGGCCCCGCCTCCAGCGCCCGCCGCCGCTGCTCCGAGAGGACCGCGGCGGGGGGCCCGGCGCCGAGGGCCGCGAGCTCGGCCACCAGCTGCCGCTCCTGCCGCGTCGGCCGCCGCGCCGGGCCGCTCACCACCCCGCGAAGGGACGCGCAGGGACAGGCTAGTACCACACCAAGGGACAAAAAACCCAATCAGTGGATGGTTTGAAGTGGGATCGATAAAGAGATCGATAAGGAGATCGACCGGAAACGTGGTTCCCGTCCTCACATTAGGGATAATACATCACACCAGAGAAAAAACCCAATCATTGGATGGTTTGATCGATAACGCACAGGGACAGACTAGCCGACCGCCACAACTGGGGGAGCCGTGGTCCTCACCCCCCTGGGGGAGCCCATCGCATCGACGAGCTCTCGAGAGGGGCGTCGAAATCGATGGGTCCCCCAGAGGGGGTAAGGACCACAGCTCCCCCAGTTGTGGCTGGCCTGACTAGTATCACACCACAGGAAAAAAACCCAATCAGTGGATGGTTTGAAATGGGATCGATAAAAAGAGATCGATGAGGAGATCGACCGGAAACCCGGGGACCCGGAACCCACCGAAATCGGCCCGGAACCAAGAACCAGAAACCCGGGAAACCGGAACCGGGAACCCAGCCGGCTACCAAGACCGGCGGGAAACGTTCGCCAAATCTTTCAATTTCCGCTAGGACCCCTTCAGTGCAAGCACTGATAGGGAAACTATGTGTCCTCCTTGGAGGCGCGCGTCCGACCCGAGCAGATAGTATACCCATCGTGTGGTCCATCGACGTTTCCCGAGCGGTGTGGCCAGAAAAGCGCCCGCCACGACGCACGTGCTGCAAACGATTTCTCGGTGCGCGCGCCGCCCCCGGGGGGAGACGCACACCTAATACTAGCATGTTGGGGTGACGCCGATGGGCCGATGGGCCGCTCGCCACCCGGTGAGGCGCCGTGGGTCTGCGCACAGACAGCGCCCTTCCCCCCCAGGAAGCCCCGGCGGAGCGACGATCAGGACGCGAGGTGGCACAGCGACCTTGCGCCGCGGCGTACGCGGGCCACCAGCGCGGCAAGCCAGAGTGCGACGAGGGCGCTCACGCGCGACCTTGCGCGGGCAGCTTGCGCGCCAAGGCCGATGCAGATGACCCCGTCTTTTTGCTTGGCCGCCCAGCTGGCCTCCACATGCCCACCGAGCAGTCCCAGCGGGGGGGGGGCCCGTGGAGGCAGGCTGGGGCCACTGTGCGCAGCCCGGAGCCTTGCCATCCCGCTGGCACCAGTCGAGCCAGGCATCCGGCAGGAGGCCTGGGCAGAAAGAGGCGCGAGTGGCGACACTCCGTGACAGAGCGAGGGGACTGCACGAGTATCGCGTGCGCACGGGGAAAGATCGGCAGCGAGGCGGGAGAAACGGAGCGCAGCACGACGGCAAAGAGGAGGAGGAGGAGGAGGAGGAGGAGGAGGAGGAGGAGGAGGAGGAGAAGGAGGAGGAAGTCGAGGGGCAGACCGCTGGCCTGTCCATACCGACACCACGGCCGCTCATCAGATCGTGAACAGAAGGCTGGACCTGAACGTTCTCTTTCGCTTTGCCTTCGTTCTGCTTCTCGCTGTGCCCTACCTGCTCTCCGGCACCTCCCTGCCGCAAACGAAAAAACAACGAAGCACAGCCGACGACCAGCAGCACGGCGTTCTGGTGTCCAGCTCCAGCTGTGTGCTCCGTTCGGCCTGAATGAAGGGGCCCTGGGACACACAAATAAATATACAAAAATCATAGGATTCCCCGTATTTTCCAATATTTTCTTGGTTTTTGCCTTTCCCCCCGCTTCCCATATTTTCCCATACTTTCTGGGGAATCGCCGATGAATTGTGTCTGTATGTTTTTGTTCCCTCCTTTTCCTCCCCTCCTCGCACGCGTCGTGAAGATGTCATGGCGCCCGGAAAGGGCGACGGCATCCATGCATATCAACTGCTCCGTGGCCAGGCTTATGTTGCTCCAATCGTACTTAAGAACCACATCCCAGAACTAATTTCGAGCACCCGGAAAAGTGTCGAAAGAGTGTCGACACAGTGTCGGACGAATGTCTCCCAGGGCCCGACACGTGAAAACCCTCGAGTTTCGGTACTTTTTCTGGTGCTCGGAATTCTTTCTGGTGATCAAGGCTAAAGTAAGTTGGACCATCATAAGGCCAGGCCCCTCCTCAACCCGGCAGCGGTGTATACGCCAAGACCTCCTGCAGAGCTCCTGGGTGCAGGAGGGGCCTGGCCAGAGAGCAGTGGATACGTACAGATGTCGTCGCCCGACAAGAGATCCTGCGTTCCCGGCGGTGTTCGGGCCTTTTCGCCTGGCCTCGGCGGTCTCCGAGCCGAGGGTGCACGGTTTCCCCCGGGGCCGTAGGCGACCCGAAGAGGAGGAGGGAGGAGGGAGGAGGAGGACGGGTCTCCTAAGCCCCTCGGCGAAAGCCTCCAGCCGAGGGGTGCTTGCGAACAGCTGCGCCTCGCCGAGAGCGTTCCGGGGCTGCCCATATCGCCCCGATCGGCCGCCAGAGAGAATCGAAACATGCCCCGGGGGGAAAAAAAAAAAAAAAAAAAAAAAAAAAAAAACAGCGAGGGGAGGGGTCTAAGCAACAGTGACAATCAACATCGAATCGGAAAATCGGATCGCATCGGAATGTGTGTCATCGAACGGGAACGAATCGAAAACGAATCGGGAACGAATCGAATCGAACGGTAAATACCAGGCTAACGGGAACGAATCGAATCGAACGGGAACGAATCGAATCGAACCGAATCGAATCGGAAACGGTAAATACCGGGCTGCGTCGGGAACGAATCGAAAGCGAATCAGATCGGCCGCGCCGGGATGCACTGCCATTCAGGCACCGGGCCGCCGCGGATCGTCGGAGCATCGAGCCCCGCATGGGAGCGTCGACTGCGCCGCAGAGAGGGTGAGAGATCCATGGCGTCGCAGTGTGTTCAAGCCCGGCGATTTCGCCGGACTTCGTGGTTGTGGTTGATGGCGACACGGTGCCTGTGCCGTGGACGCCCTCGGCCGGAGGCCGAGAAAAGTCAAATGGGGTTAAGAACAGACCACCCTGGAGCCGCCGCGAGGCCACCACGGGGTGGAATCAACTGTAAAAAAGCCAAGCAGGGCAACCAGCAGCTGAGGAGGAGACTACTGGCCGCCGCACTAGTCCTGGCCCCCGTCTGTGGCCGGGGACCCTCGCGGATTGATCGGGCTCGGCAGCTGCCGCAGCAAGATGGGGTCTCACGCGTTGCATTTTTGTTGATCCACAGCGTGGGCTCTCAGGGACAGGTTGGCGAATCTCGGAGGCACACATAGTGGCCTCCTAGCGGGGGTCCGAGTAGGTGGGGTCGGAGGATCGCGCCGCATCGCCGATGCATCGGCGATGCATCGGCGATCTCTGGCGATGCGCCGTCGACGTCGGCGATGCATCGGCGACGTCGACGTGAAGCGAATCGGGCTGCACATCGAGCCGCATCGACGATGCATCGGCGATGCGGCGCGATCCTCCGACCCCCTCTGGGAGGCCTAGAACACAGCCCCGGGGCGGGCACTGCACGCACTCGCCGGGGAGCCCCGCCGAAAGCATATGGGCCATCGGCGCTGCCGGAGACGAGTCTTGGCCCCCCGCGCGACCCGTCGGTCGGAAGAAGTAGGGAAAAACAGGAAGGAGGAGGGCGGATTACGTTGATTGGGTCCAGGCCCCCCCAGGGAATGACAAAACACAGCAAAAGCGTGTCGGTTTTTGAAGTAGGAAGGCGCTTGAAGGGTCCAGGGCCCCCCAGGGAATAGCAGAACACAGCGAAAGCGTGCCGGTTCTTGAAGTAGGAAGGCGCTTGAAGGGTCCAGGCCCCCCCAGGGAATCCCACCAGCCCTTTGGGCGTGAGTGGTTTAGAGAGCCCGCTCTGTTCTCAACCCCCTTCTTCCCCTTCGGGGAGGGGTTTACCCCTCCCCCTACCCCCTCCCCCTGGGCCTGGAGAGGTCCTTCCGCGGGTGGTCGGAGGGGTCTTTTTCGACTCCTGGGAGGGCTAAAATTCGACACCCCTCACGAGGATCGTGGCCCCGACGGGGGGGGGGAGAAAAATGCTCGCCCCATCTGTGATCGATCGCCCGAAAGATGGCCCCAAGATACCTCCCAGACCCCTCCCAAAGAGCCCCAAGAGGGCCCTAAGAGCGCCCCGGGAGAGCCCGCAAAGGGCTCCGAGACCTCCAACATATCGCCCAGAAGGCCCTAGTATATCCCCAAGATGTCTCCACATATCGCCAAGAAGGCCCTAGTATATCCCCAAGCACTGCGACAACGACAACGACTACGACTTCTACCGCTACTCCCACCGCTACCACCACGACTCCTACTACAACAACAACAACTACTCATACTTCTACCGCTACTGCTACTGCTACTGCTACTGCTACTGCTACTACTACTACTACTACTACTACTACTACTACTACTACTACTACTACTACTACTACTACTACTACTACTACTACTACTACTACTACTACTACTATTACTACTACTACTACTACTACTACTACTACTACTACTACTACTACTACTACTACCACTACTACTACTACTCCTCTCATTCCTACTACTGCCACTTCTTCTTCTTCTACGACCACTACTGCTACTTCTGCTAGTACTACTACTACCACTACTAATTCTACTACGGCGGCTACTGCTATTGCTACTGCTACTGATACTGCCACTGCTACTGGTAGTGCTATTACTACTACTGCTACTGCTACTACTACTACTACTACTACTACTACTACTAC